ACCTGAAATGGCTTCTGGTAAACTCCAACCGGGCTTTAATATGTCTTTGTGTACGTAAAGGCGACTTTCGTGGGCTTCAGGCATTCAAATTTTTCTTTAGCAGTCGTCGTCGAATGGTTACATTACTGATCTCCAACTTCAGCTCGGCTTTTATTTCCCTAGAGGACGCAAAAGGATTATTTTTGCTGAAGCGYACTATGCGTCGGTCCTCTAAATTTGAAGTTTTGCGTAGGGCACCACGTTTTTCGGGCTTTAATTCATAATTTGTGGCATTGTATACTTGGCAGAACATTTTAAACGATCTTGTATTTCTTTGTATGTTTTCCCTTCCTTTCTAAGCTCAACAATCRAAAGCCTAGCTTCCTTGGAGCAGTGAGGTCCTCTACCCACTAAAATTTAAATTTTTTCATTGTTATAGTATATTGTCATTTAAATTACAATAATAAACATAATGGAACYCACTATTCACATATTTAAAATTTTTATCGGCACTTTTCGTTCAGAATAATTAAAAACTGATATTTCACTTAACACAGCTGTATGTACATTACATATATCGGCCAATATCAATTTTACTCTTAGCAGTGCATCTTTGTTCCTAAAATGTGTACATACATATAAATTTGAACGAAAACTGGGATTATCCCTTATATAACTAATATCAGGATTTTCGAACATCCAACCGACTTTATTCTATATGATTGGTTTTTTTTATACCCTGAGTACATACCCTGTATTAAGTTTGTCACGAAGTTTGTAACATGTAGCTTCCATACAAACTGAACGATTGGAATCAAGTTCTTATATGGAAAACTTTCACATTTGATAATGTAYATATTTTTACAAAAGTTAGCACCGCTTATTTGTTGAGATAGGTTTACTGGCTTCCCTATAAACTGAACGCATAGTTACTAAACGAAATACACTTGTGAAGGTTTTTGTTAGTACGTGGTATTGGAAAAAATAGATAAAAGCTGCTCGATACTACCAACTAATACTAACTAGCGATACCCCAACTTCCTTATACTACATACATATAATGGTTTTCATTTCCTAACAAACCTTATGTGTCTGTCAGTATAGCACCCGAACTTAGCTTTTTATACTCTCGCAACAAAGTTGCTAAAGAGAGTATTATAGTTTTGTTCACATAACGGTTGTTTG